TACCGCATACTAAAATTGAGAATGGAAATTTTCATAGGTGTTCTGGTGTAATATAAGAAGGCAAACCACGTATCGTATTTCAGGTCCCATAAAATAATAAAGAAAACTCGAGTGAAAAGGCTTTTAAAGACCCCGAAACGTACAAGACAATAATAGAAAATTAAATATGATATACAGCACAAACGGCAACCACTGAATTACAGGCTTCTGAAAAGTGATATGCTCATATATATAGAATGTAGCGACCAAAACATGATTGCTGCCACCAAACCTTCCCCGTGACCTTTGGGACAGTGGTGTAACAGTACAACATAAAAACAAACTTAAGAATCAATTGAAAAGGGTTTAACTCATGAGATCGATACAATGAACAACCAGAAAAAAATAACAAAAAAACTCTCACAAAACACAAGGTACATGTAGATATCTGAGATTACTCGCAGTTACTGAATGCTAGTTCAAAGCCAATAACAACTAATACAACAAATGTATTTCTAAAACTAAGATATCAATCAGAACACATTCAACATCCAGTGGACTTAGAGTTAAGACGTGATTAACAGTAAAAAAAACGATATTTTGCAATGGCAAAAATATCCGTATATTGTATGACCGTGAATGTGTATGTAAAATTGAGAATGGAAATGGGAAATATGTCAAAGAGATAACAACCCGACCTAAGAGCAGATAACAGCCGAAGGCCACCAATGGGTCTTCAACGCAGCGAGAAAATCCCGCACCCGGAGGTGGTCCTCAGCTGGTCCCTAAATAAAATTGTGTACTAGTTCCGTGAATGAAAATAGACATCATACTAAACTGCAAAACATAAAAATGAACTAAAATTAAAAAGCATACAAGACTAACAAAGGCCAGAGGCTCCTGAACAGAGGTTAAACATGTTTTGCGAGATCTTTACCCTCCCCTATACCTCTAGCCAATGTAGAATAAAGAAATACATAGCAATACGCACCGTATAACTCAGTTTAAAAGAAGTATATGTATGTGTAAAACAATAAAATTTAGTTGGGTTTTAATCAATTGATAACAAAATCAATATTTATACCGATGAAAAACAATATTCAGGGATATAATTACAGTGTTGAATAGGGTTACCTTTTAATGTAAATTTATATACAGGATCGATATTTTACCCGCATCGTATCTTAATTTAAGGGCTCGTTAAACACCATCACCGTAAAAATTAGGAAGTGCTTTGTCATTTAATAAGTTTTCTATAGCCAAACTTCCAAACAAAAATTATTTGTATGTATGAAAGGATTTAGTAAATTTTTAATTGGGTTTCTCGAGGAATATGCATCAACCCTAATGCGGATAGTCTCTTCTGGTGCATAGTTATGCGCAAGTCAATTTTTACCCAACGCAAAAAAATAAACGACACTTCGGCAGTAGCTGTAGCAACGGGTATGATAAGTAGTACAGTGAGGAACCAATTCTTTAATTTAATTAGATTAAAAATTTGTTGTCTGAGATGCATATGTACACCCGAGCGTTTTGACGCAAATAAGCTCCGCGCTTGATTCTGGTGCAAACACTATTAGAGGGCATGCATTTTGTAGCCGGAGACTCGAACGCAGTGATATATTATAAATATCAATTCTCAAATAACTCAGTTTAAAGACTAAATTTAATACAACTGATCTTTTTTTTTAATGTAAAATACACTTATCTAGTAACGTCTATATTTATTTCAATATAACCAGATAACACGGGACTACTATGGTATAAAACCCCTATTTCATAGCCCCATTACTTTCTATGTTAAATTCTGCAATTTTCTAGCATTAATGGTTACTTTATCTTACGTTCAAATAAAGTGCCAGTCATTTCATGTCAAAACTATACATTATCCTGTGCTAAAAAAATCAATATACCTTAAATAGCATTTTAGAGCGTTTTGGTTCCCCAATTAAGCCCATTTCTAGTAAAATGTGTCTGGCACTTATTTTCCTATGAACATTTTTATATATCCGTATTCTCATTTTTTTTTCAATGAAAAAGTCCCTGTTAAATTTTATTTTTAAGACATTCTTTAAATTAATCAATATTAAAATTAAGAAAGGAACAATTGTAATTATGTACATCATAACAATCTGTGATATCCATTTTCCTATGAAAACAAGTCCGTTTAATTATATAAAAAAAAACGAACACCCATATTTTTTTTTCATATATAGTGAAATATTATTGTCTGTTAAACAATTTTAAAACATATAACAATTAAAAATTGAATTATTTCTTTCATTGCAAATTTCCTATAAAATTAAAGGACCTGAATTTTATGCATCTTATAGATGTGTTTTTACTTCAATTATAGTTTGGAGCTTCGAGATATTTGTAAACTTTTAAATCATAAACACATTTTCATAAAACAAAAGATTGTGCATAAGCAGAAATTCCGCCGAAAAAAATCCACAGAAAGAGAATAAATTGATCTTTTTAAAGTAATAAGGATGGACACCTCTGAGGAGCCAAACATTTCTAGAATTAAACTTTTTTCTTTACCTGATTTTTTTTTATATATGTTACTGTAAAAAAGTAATTGATGAAGGAATAGATCATATTAATATTAATACTGTGGTGCACTTCTTATTTTGCTTCGGCCATTTGAAATACCCCATTTTTATGATTTCGCCATTTGTCATCAATTTTTACCCATCTTTGGGCTATTATCATGAAAAAAATCAAAGTTATTAAATTAAACTTTTGTTCATTCTTTGAAGTGGACCAATCTGAATAACCTAGCTTTAAAAAACGAATTATTGATCGTGTTAATATAAGAAAGTTTATAAAATTTTGTTGCTTTTTCGTGTCAAATTGACCATGCTGTAAATTTTTAAAATTTAAGATTATTTTTTTTTTTAACAAAAAGCATATTATATCAACTTCTTTGTAATGAATGATTGAAAAATACATATCTAAGAATTTGGAAAGAAAAAAATGACATGGGATGTACATATTTTTGATAAAATCACTTCTTTGTACACTTCACCAATTTTCTCAACATTTTGGCTAATCACACTGACCGGATTGCTTATTCAAATTAAAAAACAATATATATCCCAAAAACTACTTATTTTTAGAACACAATTTTTTTGCATCTCTGCCCCGGCGACAGTTTTTTTTTTTTTGAAAAAAATCATAAAAAGGAGCAAAAATTTCATAAAAGAGAGATTGCACCTTTCTTTGTTCAGGCGTGTTTGAGTTTACCATTCTGTCTTGAAAACTTATAAAGCAAATATATTTGATACATGGTCTCGCATCATATTCTATTAGTTTTATATTTTAGGCTACAGGTTGATTTAATATTATTAAAAAAATCACAGTACTAAAAATGAAATATGTGGGTCAAGTGAAATACCTTTTCGTTGAGTCATAAAAACAGAGTAGGTGTGTTCGAATAACAAATTTCAACTAAAATGCTTGACGACAGACTTTTCAAGTTGATCTTTGAAATGCATGACTTCAAAAAAACTTTATTTTATGTGTTAGTTATTTAGGGTTATAATTAAGTCTTCAACCTTTGAAAAATTTTAGTCTGCCCTTCCACGAAATATTTAGTTAGAATTTTTTAAAATGCTTTCGAACTTTCGAAAATTACACCTGACAACCGATTAGACATTAATTTTCAAGTTGACTAAATGCAGAAGTACATTAAATGGTGCTCAATAGCTAATAGATATACACATGTCTTTTAAAATACAACTTGCATGTAAGGGTCGTTATGGGGCTATGTGGATAAATGTGTCGGTTTTCTAGAGCTAAATTGGCAGCGCGTCATCCGTATAATGGCTGCCATGTTTACGATTGTACAAATTGACTGTCGTAATTGGGAGATATTTTTGACGAAGTCGAATCCTGACTGATTAAAAGATTAATGCACAACTGTTACAAAACATAAAAACATAAGAATTAAAAACTCCATTGTTAACATGTAAAAATTCTTTAATTTCACATTTTCTGAGTAAAATAAAGGACATGGACGTTTTTACCTTGAAATATTGATGACCTGAACATGAATTCTTACGAAAATTTGTCTGGGGACATAAATTACTGACATCGGACTCGCGACTAAATATACTAGTAAATTCTTAACCATGCATGGACATTTTATAATGGTATTATTTCAAGTTCCGCCCTAATTTATCTCTTACACTTGAACACTAAGTATTTGTTTCTTTAGTGACAACCCTGTGATGAAATATAAAAGTTCAACAAACGCTATAACTGTTTTATCTTTATGAAACTTCTTTCTGGTGATATTTTTGGTGTTGCTGCGGACAAAATATATTCTTTCTCCTTGCCTAAAATTCAACTATTTTTTTTATCAGAAGTTGCACTTGGCTCATAATAGATTATCTGAAGTATTCCCAGGACGGAGCAACTGAATACATGCTTCATTCGATTCTTTATAATTTACGGTCACAATTAACTCGGTAACTCCGACAGAAGCCCAAATAAAATCAACCGAAATCTAAGAAATAATGGTAATGAAAGAAAAAAAAACTCGGTCTTTTCTAGTATACAAAAACTGGTGTAAATTTATGATATTTCGAAGCACTTCTTAAATAGCAATCTCGTGTTTTTGCCTGATCCGCCACTGAATAAACCGGGTCCTTCATTCTGTATTCTTCGCTCATTTTTTTTAATCATTCGCTCATTATTTTTTTATCTTTAAAACTATAATTAATTGATTACTGTATTCTGGACTTTGCTTTTATCTGTAATCAGTATATTTTTATCCAATTCTTAAATTTTCCCAATTTTTCCAATTATTTAGTTTATATTTTAGCACTCCATTATTCTCTATTCTTTCTGATGTTTGCCAATTTTTCTCTATTTTTTATTTTATTTGCCAATTAAATAAATTAATTAAATTAAGGTAAACCCCCTTCCTTCATGGTTCATTGCACCACGTGCATTCTGTTTTTCAGTGGCTACTATTGGCGGGATTTTCTATTGTTCTAACTGTTGGGGGTGAAGCCATTTTGATGTTCTAGCTAACACATTACACTGAACGGCTGTTCACACATATAACATTTATTTTGAAAATTTCATCTATAAGGTAGGTTTTATTCATTCTTTATAAATAACATATGGTCTAGTTATGTTACGCAGTATAAATATCAAGTTTTAAATGTTGCACAGTATCGGAATGTCAAGTTTAGTTTGGTGACTATTGAAAACTTGTAATCACTTTATAAAAAAAAATATATACATTTGTGAATAAAGATAAGAAGTGAATATTTCATCATTCAACATGCATCTATAACTATCATATTAAGTCTCTGGTTTGACCAAAGAATTGACTGAACTCGGCGGATCCTCGATTCGAGTAGACCGGTATGATTGTGTAAAACGATTTGAAATGACATGCCATAGAAAAGAAAATTGTTTTATCTAATACGGTTAATTTGAGTTTTATCCTGAACAGGATTTTTTGTTGTAGTAAGTGTCAGTGTATTCACAGGACTCGACTATCACAATAGAGCTTCTCGCGCTTTTCCACCCGGCAGTTAAACACTTGCCAAAAGTGGGGCAGAGGCGGATTTAGAGGGGGCACAGGGGGTTTGGGCCACCCTTTTCTGGGAAAAATCGGTTGATTATATAGAGAATCACTAAAGCATGACCGGAGCAGGGCCCTCTTTGCCAGTCAGTGGGCCCACACTTATGAAAATTTCTGGATCCGCCACTGTGGGGCATCTGTTTGGCTATGCAAAATGTGCAAGTACCTAGTCATTCAGTCAGAATATGGACATTACATTTCAATGATTTGATGCCTCATGTAGAGAGAGTGCCAATGCTCTCTGCACATTATGAACCCTTCTTACTTCTTATGATTTCCAGTTATCCATCAGACTTTTGATGATTACTAACTGCTGTGCATGCGTAGTATAATTGTACATAAATATTAACAAAAGAATAGTGCCAAAAATAGATACTTTACATAACTCCTAAGGTTACTCTGAGGGTTTACTTCGATAGTTTTTTGGTATAGGGGTGTGCCATTTTTGCCTCAAAAAACGTACCCATTTTAATATAATACTAGAACACACCCGCGAAATCGCGGGTATTTAGAGCTTGGTTGAAAGTATGTAAACTGTTGTAGGATGAATTTTTGTAAAAGATTTTATGTCTGGAGAATTTCAGAAAAGGTATCAAACTGAGTCATAGGCACTTGGAGACCGGACAATTATTTTAAGCCCTCTTCCTTTTTTCCAAAGTCCGTTATTTTTTTTCTCTGTTAAATTCCATGATTTTCGCGTTTCTGTATACTATGAACATACATATAATATATATAAAGTGTATTTGCTATTAACTATCAATTCAAGTCAGTTTCTTCTCCACGGCGATCACTGCTATATTATATAGAGAGTTTCTATATATTATAGGATTATAATCATAGTATACATGCAGAATAACGCGAAAATAATTGTTCCGTCCCAGAGTAATTATGAAAATTATGTTTAAAGAGGGGAGTATAGGGGGGTTGTATCTGCATGGAAGAACGCGAAATAAAATTGCCATTTCATGATTAGAGAACAATTAAAAATTTCTTGCACGTTCATCTTTTTATCGATTTCAAGAACACGGTGAATAACTAACCTTTTTCATGGCTGCACGTGAAATAAAAAGTGGCAAAACATGTTGCACGAAAATAACCCTTTACCCCCTCTTTTAAAGTTGAAAATCAGAAGTCTTGGGTATGACTTAAAAGTCGGTCTGATGACGGAAACAATATCCGGACGCCTTTTTCTTCGTTTTTCTCCCAAAATAACCCAAACTGAGTAATCATAAGAATGGATGACAAATGCGACTATGTACCTATAGGACACAGAGGCATGATGATTAATTTATTGGGGAAGGAAGAGAAGCGACACACAAAATGAGGTCTTCTCATTTAATAGTATAGATATTCACTGAAATTCAGTTCCTATAGTAAAGCCAAAAAAAAAAATATGTCTGTTTCCGGTTACCCAACCGGGTCGACCCTACTTTTGAGCGCCGACCTTCGTAAAGTGAAAAATAAACTGAACTCGTGTCAAAAGCAAAGTTAGTGTTGCAAATAATATAAATCAAATGTTTGATGCATCCCAATGTTCACAATCGTGAATATGACAGCTGTTGTCTCCATTTTTTCCAATCAATTACCAAGGGAAATAATCCAATCATTAAAAATACGGGTAAATTCTGCCCATGATCAACTCGGACCACGACAAGACAAAACAGCATGACTCAAAATCTTGTCACAAAAAATAAAATGAAAAAATAAAATAAAATGAAAATACCGACCTACCTACCCTATTTTTTTAAAGTATGCAACCTTAAACAGACACATATATATTTTTTTGGCCTAATATAAATATTTAAGAAAGAATGACCAATACTTATATACAAATTGGGAGACAAATGTCCAGGATTTCATTTTGGGAACTTATTTGAAAGGTGAACTTTCAAATGAATTGGTTTAATTTAATTATGAATATAATATTGACCATTGATAATTTAAGATTCCGAATAGCATATTTATATATGATATGAAGATCATATATATACCCCAAATCAATATACAGTTATCAAACGTAAATGCATTTTAATATCATGAATATAGTGTGTGATGAAAAGGAGGATCATTTTTAAATAAAATCTAGCAAAATTATGACCCATATATGGTGTGTACATCACTGTGTTACACCCAATTATAGGAAGTGACCTCCCCTGGGGGTTGAATGTTGTAGTAGGTATCAACTGTTCTCTAACAGTTCATGCCCGTGTGTGTAGTGATGTCATAGATTTTAACGAAGGTAATCAATGCATCACTGGTAAATTATTAAGTCAGGGATTTCATTACCATAAATTACTTAAAACTTTTACTAAATTCTTTAGTCTCTGATGCATGATTTTTTATTATTAATTGTTTTGGCTTTTAACTAGCTGTCAGTAACTGCTGGACCGTTAAAAGGTTTGTTTAGTTCGCACTGGTATATAGTCCGCACCCCCTTCTCCCCACGAAATTTCAGGTAAAAAAACTTTTTGTAACTGTTAGAAAAGGTCTAATGAAACTCCGGTAATTTTAAATCGTGTGTGGTCGTTTGCGGTATTTTCTTGGAAAAACCTATTTTCCATCACCAAACAGAAGCTGAAACTGCTTGTAAATGGTTCTAAAACACTTCACGCTGGTTAAAATAAGTCTAAATCACACAAAAAACAATTTAGAAACTTGTGTATGTTTAAACCGGAAGTTTGAAAAGCACCTGTAAAAGATGAAAAAATCCAGTGAGAGTCGAAATCCGTACATAATAGATACCACTATAATACAACTTTGAAAGAAAACAGTTCCCTCCTTATGTAAAACAGCGTTAAATATATCTATCACATTAATGTTTGAAGGGTCTTAAGCTAATACAAAACATATTTGTCGATAGGAAACACCAAAACGGAACGAATAATAACCAATTACATTTTGTAGTTTACACATCGTAAGCTGGTTTACGGTTGTCTTTTTTTACTTTTTTTGTACGATTTCATGCAAGCAGATACCAGTTTATGCATTGAAAAGAAACGAGAATTTTGTAATGAATCATTTAATTTTTAAATTTATCAGTATTAATTTGATATTGAATAAAAATAACTTATTCATATGGATTGGGTAAATTATTGGTTTGGAAAATGGTAAGAGCGCCCTCTACAATGTCAATAACAAACATGGTGGAACGTAAACAAATCACATTGCGAAATTGAAATTTTCTCTTATTTCTTGCTTATTGTACTCTATAGTCTGCACCCCTGCTGTCAGGGTCAATTTTGGAGAATAAAACCGCAGACTATACAAGCCTTTTAACGGTACTCTCAAGTCGTACTTTCTTTTTAATTTGACCTATTGATACTATTTGTAATGCTTTTTTGTTATTTAATGTTAACATGGATCTTGTCTATATACCAGCTTTGATTATTTGGTATTACTACAAATTTTCACTTCTTCGTACTATGAACATCAAAATTATTTCATTTTTCCTTAGATGCTGTTCTTGGACCTGTACACATATATATAAATATAAATATGTGCCCCTATTATAGTAACCGTTGGGGATCTCTCTGAAGTAATACCAGGAGGTTTAGAATCTTTTGCACCAACAACATTTGGTGGCTTATGCTGAAAATTTACCCCTTCTCATCAATATTGTATATGCAATGAGGTTTATCAATAAGGTTATATTTTACAAGAATTGTTTCTAGTTCCTGAAAATAGCTATTACCCAGTAAACAATCCAACGTTGACATTACGTTGTGACAACGTAGTAAAATTATGTTGGTACAACGTAATTTTGTGGACTCCAAGGCACGTGCTGACAACCATCCACACAACGTTGGCACAACGTAATTTGTGACGTAATTTATTACACAACTTATACACTTCTAAAAATATCCCAAATGAAGAAAATACCTGAAATACAATCAAAACTAACTATTGCTTTTTTCCATTGACCAACTACAAAATGTAGAGATAGACCTATCCAAAAGTTAAGACTTCTTTTTTCTTGGCTTCATGAACCAATAAAAATATAATAATATATTTCTGAATTTTTTTAATTTTTATTCCAAATTTTAGTCTTGTGTTGGTTGTATACATGTCATTCCAAATTTTGGTTTTCTGCCCTCTGATCAGCTGGTCTTGTGTTGGTTTCAGGTCTCTGAAAAATAAATAACCATAAATTATAAAATACAAAAAAAAAACTGATCCCAACTTATGAATTACAGCAGTTCTTAAAAAATATCCTGTGTAAACATAATTTATATTTTTTCTATTGCTGGTCGTATAATAAATCTTGCAGATTCATAATTATGTTGTGCTGTTACTGAGTCAGAGATGTTTGTATCTTTGCCAATTATACACATTTTGATATTGTATGTTAGAAATTTTAACATAATTTCAACAGTATATAATAATTTATAACTTTTGGTTAACCTTTTTCTTATTTAAAAAATAAATTTGTTGTTAAATTGAACATGTGTTAATGAATTTATGGCTGTTCCAGAAAATACTATGTCCGCCCCCCAAGGACG